AATCTCAATGAGTTGTTTGGGAAATGATAGAGATTTTGTTGAACTTCTCGGTCAATCAAACTTCAAATTGTAGTTATATGAGGATGTTCAATGATGACTATACTCTCTTGAATAAACTTCCTCCAAAACCAATGTGATTTCCAAACTTTATTCATTTCTTCAATTTGAACATTTTTTGTCTCCGGCAAGAACAAGGCAACAAAAATTGTCATGATAAGCACAAATCCAGCAAAGAAGAAGAAAAGACCAAACTTCAAGTGACAAAGCATGGTTAAGAAAACTTGAGCAATGACAAAGGTAAATAACATGTTTACAGCAACATTTGTACTTTGACCAGCAGATCGAACCTCAAGAGAACATATTTCACTAGGAACCAACCACCCTAGTGGACCCCAAGACCATGCATATGCTGCAACATATGCACATATAAAGAATAAGAGAAGACCAGCTTCTCCATTGGTAAAATAGCCTTCACCACTCACTCCAAATTTTAGAGCAATCATAATTCCAACAGCAAGCTACACATAATTATTATGTATTTAGGTTAACAAATGACTTCAATGGTAAAATTTCATCTCCTTACATACTAAAATAACAAATACTTTTTATCGATTAATTTAATATTTTTACCTGACAAATAAGCATCTGAATGCCGCCTTCGAGGAACAATATCCTTCTTCCAAACTTGTCCACAGAGAAAATGGAAACAAAAGTTGCAACCACATTAACGCCTCCAGTGATAACTGAAGACATAAGGGAAGTATCGTTTCCAAAGCCTAAAGTTTTAAAGAGGACAGGTGCATAGAACATGATGACATTGATGCCAGTGAATTGTTGGAAAAATGGAATGAGAGAACAAAAAATCAGTTGAGGTCTGTATTTTGGTTTTGTGATGTTCTTCCATGGATGTTCCACATCTCTAGCTGCTTCAACTGCATCAATGAGGTCTTGGAACTCCTCATCAACATTATCCATACCACGAATCTTTTGCAACATTTTCTTAGCTGTTTCTTTTTTACCTCTTTCAATTAAGGAGTTAGGAGTGTCACCTAAGAAAAGAGATCCTACACATAATATGATTGCAGGAACTGCACCAACACCTAAAGAAATTCTCCAACCATGTTCTAGTTTGGCAGTGCCATAATTAATAAGGTTTGCAACCAAAATGCCAATTGTGATCATCATTTGAAATCCAATGTTAAGTGCACCTCTTATAGATGTTGGAGCCATTTCAGACAAATACACGGGTAAAGACTATAGCAAATAATAATAAAAAAACAAAGGAAAAGTCAAAAACAATTTAATCATTACAATTTCTCCATACCCTTTTAACAAAATTTGAAAGCATTGACATTGATATAGAGCCTCACCTGATTACAATATCCAACACCAAAACCAAGTAATAAACGACCTATGATGAGCATTTCAATATTGATGGCAAAACCATTCAACAATGCACCGACAAGGAAGAATAATCCACCTGCAAACATTGAGGTCTTGCGTCCCATCATTCTTGTTGTGGTGGAAGCAAAAAGGGAAGCTACTAACGCAGCAAGATATAAAGAAGAGGTGAACAAAGTAAGGAGTTCATTGTCAAATTTACAATATTGACTTTCATGATTAGAATCATCTTTCATTTGTTTATAAACACTTGGAAAGAATTTTATTAAAAATGGTTCCATAGAAGTTACTCCTCCTGTGATTCCAAGATCATAACCAAAGAGTAAACCACCCATGGCTGCTACAAAACATGTGATCAACACGAATACTGTAATTCTGCTTTCATGTTGTCTTGAATTTTCTGAAGTAACAAATGTCCCACTTGCCATTTTTAAAATTGTTATTTGTCTTAACTTTTCTTTCTTTTTCTATATATGAGATTGCAAGTAATAACTTGTTTTATAATGTAAAATAGGCTAATAATAACATCTAACACGTAAAAATGAGTTATAAAACTAAACAACCACTCTAACAATATTTTTTTAAAGTAATTTAATTATGTATTATGTTATTAACATCCTAATTTGTGTTTATTGTTTTTTAAGTTAGAACTAATATGTTATTTTAAGGATTTAACATAAGAGTTAGTTAAAATTTACAAAATTATTGTTTTATAAACAATAGTCAATTTGGACAGTAATTAATAATTGTAATTTATGTATAATTTGAATTAAAAAATTATTTTATTTTTTTAAAGTCTATTGTAAAGTGTTTTTTCTTATGTGTTTTGCATAAAAAAATTTATCATTTGTCATCACATGACAGTTTATTAAAAAAAACATTATTACACGAGCAAAGTCCAACACGTAAAATTGTCAACTTAAAAATTATACATATTTCACTTAGATACTAATTTATTTTTCAAGAAAGGGAGTCTTTAGTTTGAATTCTTATTATTGTCGTTTCATTTGTCGTATTAAACTTTTTTTTTTAATTATTTTATTTTATTTTAACATTTAATAATGATGACTCCATTGCATATTAACTATAGTAAGTAATAATCTAACGAAAAGTATTACATAAACGAATGCTATATTTGGAAACTAAAATAAAAAAATTACAAAGTAAATAAGATTTAAAAGTATAATATTTTTTTAAAAAGTAATAAAATATATAGGACAATTTGTTTAGATATCAAGGTATTTTTTAACATAAAAAAGTAGTTAAAGATTGGTTACAAAATAATATAAAAATTTAATAAAATTGTTGGTAATCATAAACGAAAAACATTAAAAACATTTATTTTAAATTGTAAGGTTGATCATCTACAAAATCAACAAAATTCCTTTACGGAAGTCTTTTTCATCTAGCAGACCCAAGATTGGAGAATTGTGGTAAGGGGTTTCACCTTACACCTTCGGTCCTTTCATCCTGCACCTCCAAATTTTTACACAATGTCAAAATTGCCCATATTTAAAACACTTTTAATATTTATTAAAATAAAAAAGTTGGTCAAAATTCTTTAATAAAGCAGTTTATCAGTTATTATTTCTCGTGCATTTGAAAAACTAGCATCGGATCTCAGATTCTCAGCACACTCTCGTTCCACTCCTTCTAGTCACACACAGGCACCACAGCTTCGTCTTCTCAGGCAGCATAACTTCATCTTCTTCTTCATAAGTACTCATCACAATTGGAGTTTTATCTCCATTAACTATGTTCACCTTTAAAGCAAACCTTAATCACTAAAACTATCAAGATATAATTTAATTCCCTTCTGATTGAAGAAAATAGTGTCAAAAACAACTACGGAGCTGTATCTAAGATTTTTCCTAAAAAGAGAGAAAATAAAAGCAACCCATAAAGAAAAATTCAAATTTTCTTTCAACATAAAATCCAAACAATAATTTCACACAAAAAAAACAGCGTATTGTGGAAAATCGTGGAAACCCAAAAAAGACAAATAAACGCAATGGGTCTCATGCATCTGCAAAGTCCGGGAAGAATGAAGTGGTCAGATTGCATTGCACGCAAATCGTAACCACCAATATGTTTTGAAGGTGAAATCTAACACAGAAAACTAAGGACAGATTTGAGAAGCTCTAACATTATCGAGTTTTGGAAGAACGGGAATGAAAAAAAAAACGTGAAAAATATTGCAAACCAAACATTCAAAACATGAATCGGACATGAAGTCAGATTAATCTTTTGTACTTCAAATTCATTTTCACTTCGGATGTTGACATCCGAAACGCCTTTTTCACATATTGAAAGCCGATAAACGGTTATCAGATTTGAAGCGCCTTTTTCACATATTGAAAGCCGATTAACGGTTATCAGATTTGGATATCCAATCGAATTTCCATATCCATTTTTTTATTTATCACATTTTTATATCCGAGTTTAAGAGTGAATGCAATACACTTATTTCACGCGACAATCTTCAAAAAAAACTTCACACATTCAATGCCAACCACTAACAGGACTACCACCTCCTCTAGCGTCTCACCACTTCCAAACAAACTAAAAAATATATCTCTTAATCTCTCTTACCTTTTACTCACTTGAATAGATTTGAGGAAGAGTGATTTGAGAGAATTTAAAGATAAATTTGAAGGTTTGTGAGAATGAATTTGAAAGCAACGTTTGTGAGAATTAGTGTAAGATTTGATTGATGTGACAGATTAAAAAAATTTACTTCTAAATCCACTCTCACCTACCTCTAAATCCACTCAAATAAACAATAATTTTTTTTTTCAAATCCGTTCAATCACTCTCCTCCAAATCTATTCAAGTGAACAGAACTCACACTGAAGGAAAGAAGGGAAGGAAAATAAATGAAATGGGGTGCAGAGTGAAGAAGGGAGTATACATTGAATCCTTGAACCATTTCGGTCAAAATGACTTAAATGTACAACCATTAACGAACTCATTAATTATGAAAGTATTTATGAAATTTGGGGGTGGTGCAGGGTGAAAAGGTTGGAAGGTTGTGAAACGCTCTTGGTGATAAAGAATCATGATCTAATATCTCATGGCCCAATCAGATCCTCTACTAAAAGGAAATGTAATTTATCTAATAAACCAATTATAGGGTCCGGTAATTACTAAGAAAGGGGTCCAATAAAACTGTTAAGAATCTTAAGTAAAAATCATAAAAATATCTGCTTCTGATACTTAAAATCTGTTTAGAAAAATATAAACCTTAAGAATTAAATGCTATTAGTTAAAATATGAATATAACAGAACAACTTAAGACTTATGAAATATACCTCTCATTATAAACAAAGGAATTCAATCTTGAATACTCTAGCTAAAAACCCTAAAATTATACCAAGATATTTTTCGCCAAGAACAATTGAAAGACCTAGATCATCAATCGCAAGATCTCATATATATTTTTACCTCATAAGTACCCTAAATTTGAGATATTGAAATGTATTTATAATTTCAATCCTCCAATTCTGACTAAATTGAAATTTAAACATCAATTCCATTTTCATAAACAAAACGAAAAAAGAAAATTAATTAAGGGTGTGATATAAACTAAAGATTCAGCATATAAAATTTTTAAAAGTAAGCTAATGTACCTAATATTGTTACTTGGCACGTACACAGGATGGAATTGAAGAAAACACACACAAGTTGATAGATAAAGGCACGTTTGAGCTACTCTTGATGACGCTTGAAAGTTTGCAAAACGAATTCACTGCATTAATTAATAACGCATTTGGAATAAATGTGAACTGAGAACCCTATTAACAAAGGCAAAACAAGACATGCTAAATACTTTCAATTGCTTGATAATACCACAAAATACAATGACCCCACAATTACATAAGTGTACAAAAATTGTAGTGTGTTGGTCCCAAGGGACTTGACACTTATCAACTTACCTCTGCAGTATGTTCAACGTAAGCCTTGGTCAGCTGATCATCAAAATATTCATAATTATCTTCTTCGTCTTCCTCAACAAATCTAACAACCCCACTACCATTAGGTAAACTTTTAGTTTCACTGAAATGCACTATGAGCTCATTAACCTCTTCCCTTTCTTGATCAGTTTTTGCTAAAGATAGAAGAACATTTTTAGCTTTCTTATCGGGAGAGATTCCATTAGACTCCATTTCCTTAAACCAATGAACAGCACTGTCGAAGTCTCCACTTTTTCCATATGCATCCATGATAGTAGTCAAAATTGCCTGATTGGCCTTTATTCCCCGCTCAAGCATTTCTTCGTACTTTTTCATCACCATCTCAAGATCGTTTATCTTAGCATACCCTTTCATTAAGGTTCCGTAAGTGACAACATTAGGCTCAACACCATCCTGTATCAATCTTTTGAAAAACTTCTCAGCACCCTCCATATCAGATGCATTGATATAAGCAGACAACATGGTAGTGTATGAGCAAAGATCTGGAAAGAATCTGCGTGGGTAAAGTACAATGATACGAGGAGAGTGCTAAGTGTTGTACACTAAATAATAATATAGACAGGAATATATCCTCAAATTCTAATTCACTTGGTACATGAATTTGAATAGTGTGTTTGGATTTGTTAGCAAACACTAACTGCCCATTCATCTCAATCCATCAAGAGATAAACTTTTCCATATGGACTCACTTGAATGTGTGACAGTTAAAAAATGTTTGATATTTATTTCTGACCATACCTAAAACCATTATCTATTAATTAACCTCTGGATAAGTCTCCAACATTATGCCATCGGCTACGTGCATGATCTCATTATATCCCTGGATTTAAAAAATGTTGTTTTAATCCTTAAATTTTATTGTTAGTGAAAATAGAAGTATAAAAAGACTATTAAATGACGTTTTGCAAAGACGGACTAAAATAGGATTTAAAAAAACCAGAATTCAAAGCAATTCACACTTTCATTTCAGAAACCAGTATGGGAATTCACTCACAATCCACCATTGGTATTTGGCCTTTCAGATGATCTGCACTTGAATGGAGAAAAGGTATTTTACATAAATTTCATTTTTTTTCTTATTTACCACGTTAGATCCTCCTTAATCGTTAGTGAACAATAGTATTCGTTGAGTTTGTTTTTCCTTCTGCGTAAAAAAAGTGGGAGGGCCATGGATCTATCATATCCATGCTTGATTTTTACTTGGCTGTTGACTGGGTTTTTCATTTTGTAATTTGCCTCACATCTCTTATTCCCACATATTTTTCACCTTACCACAGTAATTGTGTTGTGAATGTGTTTTTCTTCCAAGGAAAAAAATTAGAACCAGTACCTCAATAATTCTCTCTTTCTTTTTTATGGATTCCAAGTGAAACTAAACACATTATTAGGTGAGGAAAAACAAGCAGAGAGGTGGAAACAAAATGAACCTTGAACCATATATTTCTCTGCTAACCTTATTTAAGTTCCATTTTAGTCCTATTTTGCTCAAAATGAAAGCTCCTTCAGATGTTTAATAGTCAATTGCGACTCAATTACCAGAAAGAATCAATGCCCCTAAAAACTTTCCATGAGTGGTGAAAAAAAAATTGACAGAAAAGAATAAGTTGCAACAGAAAAATTAGTTGGAGGACCAAATTGATAAACAAAACAATGACCATGACTAATTTGAAATATAAATATAACCATGGAGAACCAAACATGTATAACTCTTTTTGTCTAATAAAGACTGAAGAAGAAAGGAAATGGTACTCACCTATCCCTTCTCATACTCTTAAACACGGTCCGAGCCTGCTCCACCATTCCCGATATAGAAAATGCATCAAGTAAAATATTGTAAGCTTTCCGAGTTGGCCTGTGAAAAAGAAGAGAAATGGTAACTTCTATGATAATAAAAATAATGATCATTAAGAAGATAAAATGAAACCCTATAATGCACGCATGTGATACTAGGTATTTGATTTGGTGATACACTAATTCTTAAAAATATAAGACCCGATATGTATTAACTCTTACTTTTAACTATCATTTTTACTAGTGTTATATATATATAAAATGCTTTGAATCCTTCTCTGAAGGTGCATATACATTTAAATGAATCTTATTTTTGAACATCACAAATTGACTCGTTTTTTTATTCCTATTTGGCATTTCATTTTCATTTTTTAAATAGCAAGCATAACTAAGTATATGGTTTGGACACACATCCCTAAAGTATTGGAATGTATCTTAATTTGATAGGTATCGAATACAGACAAGCCTCTGATATGGGACGAAAAATCACATATCAATGCTTCAGAAATAAAAAAATTATCTAATTTAACAACATAATCAGAAAAGAACAATTCTAAAAATAAATAGTAGCCAATTTAAATAAAAATAAGTCTCTTATCAACCAAGACATTCGGAGGAGAAAAACTATCTGTATAAGAACAGAAGATAAGAGTTGAGGTGGATGTGGTAAGGATGGGCTTTTAAACATTTCAATGATTTTCTCATAACAGCCACAAATAAGACTTGCCGATGTTTAAGTGGTAGATATTTAGCTACAAATAGTGATTGCAGATATAGGAGTAGGAATACGTGACTAGCAGGCTACTAAAATCCCATCAAGTAATTAATAATTACGAAGCTGATAATAATTTAAATTACCCAGCTTGCTATTCATTTTCCGCATTACTAGTTATATTCCCTGACATACCTGACTCCAGCGTCAAGCATTTCCTCAAATACAGCTAACGCTTCTTCTTCCCTCCGGGCCTTCCCATATGCACTCACGAGTAGGGCATAGCTCACAACATCAGGTCTGAGATCAGCTCTTTGCATCTAAAATTAGGCATTCACTTCAAAATCTGATGAATTAATAATATAAGCAAGAAATTAAAGGGGGGGACAGAAAAAAAATGAAAACTAATGGAAAGTCTTGAAAATACCTCAAGATTAAATAAATTATGTCCACGAAAATGTTGAAATATTAGTCCAAGTAGATGATGTGTGCAAGGATTTAATTTCCCATTCTCATAATTTAATAAAAATCTGACTGAACTAGCACGGAGAAAGTTTTGCAAACCAAAACAGATTTCAAATAATCTACTTGGAAAAATTAAATCTACAATGAATCCTCTATATGGACAAACGTGACAGTATTCGTACCTGTTAAATATAGTGAAGAAGATTAGGAGAAATCTCCCTTATGTGTTTAGCATACACATAGGGTAGTTTATTTATAATGTAAGATAAGGGTTAAACCCTAAATACAGAATGGGCTAAGCCCAATTAACAGAAACACACAACTTAACATCTAACAGTACCTATACAACAAAAGTACAAAGCCAAAACAGCTGAAAATTGAGTCTATAGTTAAGATGTATGGTTATCTTGTATGAAGAGGGAGATTTAAAATTTATTTGAAGTACCTAAACGTGTTACTGTTCATGTAGAATACCACAAGACCATTTTTGTTACACAAGTTAGTCAAAACCAGTTTCTTCCTCATTTGGAAATGATAAAAATAATATGATGTTAAAGTAGTAGGCTTGTTCAACATTCAGAAAGTAATGTTATCTATTATAAACATGCGAATACCTGATCATATATGTTCGAAACTTCCTTGTAATTTGTTTCAAATGACATCAAGCTATTATAAGTTACTGTAGATTGTTCAATTCCTCGTTCAGCCATCAGTGCAAATGCCTTACGGGCCTTTTCATAACTTCCAGCCTTTTTAAACATATAAATCATCATGTTAAACATCTTCTGGTCGGGTTTCAAAGGCGAGTTTTCATCATTCAGTAAACTGTCAAATACTTCTTCAGCTTCTTTAAACTTGTCCCCCTGCAAGTGAATCAATACAAATGTAAAACTGAAAGTCAAGAGACTCAATAGCAGTCTGTAAAATATTTAAGAAATGCACACCGAGTTCAACATAGTTGTCATGGGAGATGTGTGGGAATTGAACAATCATGGTAAGTCATCGTTGCTGCCTCATTCACAGCTTAGAATTATATGCCAACAATGAACACATTCCTCCCAATTCAATTTCCATCAAGGTGGTTTACTTTAAGAGGCAGGGCATCAATATATTTGACTTTTATTCGAAATTTCGTTCAGGGGAACACAAGTACAAAACCACCAGCACAAACAACACCACTAGCGGCCATAACTCATAAGAGAAGTTAATTTTAAAGTAAAAGTGCAAAGGATTAAATAATAAAGATGTATGCTCACATGAACAAATGTTTTAAGTATTATCTGGTATGTTAAAGCAGAAGGTTCCGGACCCCATTTCTGCATCCTTCGGAATATCGCTTCAGCATTGTTATATCTGCCTCCTCTTCCATATGCTTCCATAAGAGCAGTCTGAGATACAACATTTGGCGGATAACCATTATTATTCATCAAAGCTAAGATCTTCTCAGCACCATTGAAGTCTCCCAGCTTCCCATATGCCGTGATAAGCATGAAATAATCCATCTTACCAAAATCCCACCAGTTTTGAGTCCGGAGCCATTCAAGAATCTAAAGAATCGCGTAATAAAGAAGTTAGACTCATCTACAGCTAAAACCAAACAATCACACAACAAAGAACAGATGAACTGTATACCTCAACGACAAGGTTCCACTTCTTGAGTTGTTTAAACCTAATCAAGGTACCAACAATAAGGGTTTTAGGAACACCCTGGTTGTTAATATTCTCGGAAGAGAGAACAGAAACAGCAGAACCGGAGTCATCGATTTCAGTCATGATTCTCCTCCAATTCTTCTGATGAGCCTCATCCGCAGGATCCTTGAAAACCTCCAGTTTCCTCCTCCTCTGCATGAACTTCCTCGGTTTCAACATTCCCCGACACACCACCTCCATTCTCCCACTCATCCTCACCCTCGCAATTCCATTGCTACACAAACAAAACATAACACGTTGAATCAGCGAAACATACACGCACATACACATACACCTAAAACGCAACATTGAAAAATGAATAGCCCTACCTCGTGCGAGTGGGTGGCAGAGGGAGGTGTGGCAAGTGACAGTGTGACTTCGAAATGAGGCTACACATAATCTACCGATGAGGATTTTTTCCAAAGAAGATGATTGTATTAAGGAGCAGAAAGTAACTATAAATATTAGATAAATATAAATATCTATTCTAATTTCCATGTTCGTTTCATGGGCCGAACTATTGTTTTTGGGTCAGGCCCAATCAAATAGGCCCACCCGCTTATATAGAAAGAGATCTTCATTAATAAGCTAGAGAGAGAATAACTAAACCAGAGAAGGCAAGAGGTTGTGTTGTTAACGACGACGAAGAAGACGACCAATGATGTCTTCCGGCGGGGACAGTGGGAAGCCATTTTTCTGTCACGTGTGCAATCAGAGGATAACGTGCACCGATGAGTCGGAACCGTTCTGCCCGATCTGTCTGGAAGGTTTCGTGGAGGAATGGAACCCTAATAACCATAGTCATAACCCTAACCCTAATTTCACCCATGAAAGTGGGGGAGAATCTATGGATCCCGAATTCCCGTTCGATTTAATCGACACCATGCTCCCCCTCTTGCTCAACGCGGGTTCCAGGACCCGCCGCGAAGCCGACATGTTCGACCCAAGGACCTACCTCCAGAACTACCTGCAGAACCTTCGCGCCGACGGCGCTAACATTCAATTCTCCTTCGGCAACCCTTCCGACACGGGGTTCCGCCCCTCGTCAAACCTTGGCGACTACTATCTCGGCCCGGGCTTTGAGCAGTTGATTCAGCTGCTCGCCGACAACGACCCAAACCGTTACGGCACGCCACCGGCCGCAAAGGACGCCGTCGAAAATCTCCCCACAGTCACCGTCGACGATGAGTTGCTGAACTCTGAAATGAACCAATGCGCGGTCTGCCAGGACGAGTTCGAGAAGGGCACGCAGGTGACGCAGATGCCTTGCAAGCACGCGTATCATGCTGACTGCCTGATTCCTTGGCTTAAGCTGCATAACTCTTGCCCCGTTTGTCGGTATGAACTGCCCACCGATGACGCGGATTATGAGAATCGGACGCGGAGCAGTGGCGATGATGGTGGGTCGAGGTCTGATGTGAGCGATAGTGGCAGTGGCAGTGGCGGTGGCGCGGGAGGGGGAAATGGTAGACCTGTTCACCGGACTGTTAGAATATATTTGCGGCATCCTTTTGATGCAGGTGACTCTGCGCAGGACAGTTCCGAAAGGGGATGGGAGAGTTGGGATTGAAATTTGTGTAAGTGGTTGTGTTTTATATTATTTCGGTTGTTGTAAATTCATTAGTTTTACTTTGATTTGAAACATATTGGGCTTTGATTGCATTTAGGACTCAGTGTTCTGGTTTCGTAGTATAATTGACAATTGCTGGCATTTTAACGTGTGGATTTTAGCTTGTTAGGCTTGGTTGTTCTGATACCCAAATTCCCGTGCTTTCTTTCTACAGAGAGTGACGAAGCTTTAATGCTCATGAAAATAAACATGCCTTCTTGTACATCAGCCAATCTCGGTGGTTTAAAAACTTATTCTGTATATTTCATTTTGTGGTCATTTTTATATTTGGGGTTTTAATGATCTGAACTGCATCTGAATGAATTGTTAAACTGTTTATATTCTGTTACGTGTATCCCTAACTTTCTTTTGTTTCTGTATAGTTTCCATGTTTATAGTTCCTTTTCTCAATATTTTTATCTGAAATCGATATGTGTTGTTTGTGATGGTAACTCTTTGTTGAGAGCTTTTGACCATGGAGCTGGTTGTCCGGCACTCTTGCACAAAGAAGTGGTTTATGCAGGAACAAAGAGAAAGAGGTTTAAAGTTCTGAACTAATTATTTTATTTACTTCTGGAGTCTTGCACTTCATGTAAACGGGTTTTCCTTCAATTTTACTTAAGGCTGTGTTTCATAGAATGATGTGGGGATGAAGAGAAAATGAAAACAGAATTTAGGATATTGAAGGCAATTAAATGTGTAATTGATTCAAGTATGAAGATTGACTACTGCTTTGCAGCAGCATGGTGAAAACCCACGAAATGGATTATTTTCCACTGAACCTCATTCAATTCTAATGTTTGTCGGAAAATTTAAGAAATGCTCAATGGATTGTGCTTTATTCCCCTCGTACAACCAAAATAGATGGGAAATTTGTTTGCGGTCGAATTTTATTGTTTATCATATCTGTTGTCATATTTTGCACTCTATGGAACAGTCTTACATATTGCTCGATCATTGTTTCCGTCTATATACTTGGCCATAAAATTGTTACATAATTGTGTCGATGTTTGGTTTTCAATTTTTATATATGTTCTTTCGATGATTATGAAGGTGTATGTTGATATCAAGTGGTGATAGTTAGTTTGTATCTGCAGGTATTGTTCGTGTTTAAAACTCTGGAAACTATTGTGCAGCTAAGGGTTCCGGGAATAGATTACTATCTTTGCCATGTTTGCAGAAGTCCTTGTGAGGATTGTAAGAGATGTTATTTTGCGTGGCCATGAACATGAACTTTGTTCGATCAAAGCGGATTGCATGAAAGCTCACAATTATTGAGACTTTAGGTACTGCGTTATTTTGTACAGATCATCTTCCAAACATCCATTATTATTGATCATCCTTTATGCAATACTTAGTTAGTCATGGTCTATATTTCTCCTATGTGTGTATAAAACGTTTTAATTTCGAAATTTTTATTTCAACCATTTTAGAAGTATTTGCCTGTTGCCCAGTATTTTACCAGCCTAATTAGGAAATAAGCCTTCGCTAATACACCTTCGAATTGACGTTTTTTAGGACACGTCAATGACATATACATGCAAGGGTTAGTCAAAATCTTAAGTCTATAAAACATTTCGTAGTTTCTATGAAATATCAAATTTCCTTTGTGTTAGTCTCTACAAAATGTGATAACTGTGTTTTTTATGGGAAGAAAGTTTTATAAATTACTAATAACGGTATATTTTTAGAACATTATTTAAAAAAATTATGGACTAAAATTAATTAATTATTATGTGTGATTTGGTTAGAAGTGTCTTGGATTAAGCATTGGAGAGGATTTGACAAATATAATCTAAACCATGGACTTGAATTTTTGAAACACAAACAGTAAACTTTTTTAATCAGAGTTTCGTGAAATGAATTTTTGAAACACAAATAGTAAATTTTTGAGTACGCATGTTGAAATGAATTTATGATATATGTTGTAGGACTAATTATTTGTATTTTTTTAGTTCCTTGAAAAGCAAAAAACACGACTAAATTTTCTAAAAGTCAATATCTTTGCATCAGGCAGAGCTTAATCAGTTTGATTTGTGAATTTATGTCAGATAGGTATCTCCGTGTCACTGAAATTTTGATGTTTGGGAGAGTTTGTAATCATGGGAATGCATGTTGTTCCAAATTATATTATATCTGTTTCATGTCTACACTGATTTTACCGATATAAATTATCCAAATACTATAATTGACGGTATTTTCTGATATTTATTATCGATAGCAATGCTCACTCCATAACTTAAAGATTAATTTTATCGAATAAACAGTACGTCAATTTTAGTATCATGGTTTAACTTAAGGTGTGGGAATCAATAGAGGATACTACTCTCAATTTAGAGGGTTGAATTTTTGGTTTATTCAAAATATATTGATTTTTATAATTTGAAGTATATAAAAAATTAAATATATTGTAATTAATATATTTTGAATGACCAAACAACAAAAAATACAGCACAATTTGAAGATAAACATGAATAAGAAAAGCAAAAGATTATGTTGGTTCATTTTGAATATATCTAGTTCCTAAAAAATAAGTTTTGAAAGAGTTTATTTCATAAAAAATAATTACAAAAACAGTATAGAAGTCTTGTCCGATTTATCATAATCTTTATATTCAATAACAATTTAAGATTTATGAAATTATTATATACTAAATAAAATAAGGTTATTTGAAATTATATAATAAATTACTAAATTAGCCTCATTTTCACACACATACTATATATGATAAAGAACTGATTATAATAATAATAAACCTGTTATAATAATACAACTTATTATATTATTAAAAGAGATGTTAACAAACCTATTATATTTCCAAGAGTGTTTCATCCTACACCTCTAAAAATTTCATTTTTAATCTTATAAAAATTTCATTTTTAACCTTATGACATATGCTGCTCCAACTTTTCTAAAAATTTTACTTTTTAATAAATATATTTTTATTTTCTTCTCTCTCTTATTAAAACATTTTAATAAATACATTTTTATTTTTTTCTCTTTCTTATTAAAGTTCCTCTACACCATCTTAATAATAATCTAATTTAATTTAAAATTTAAATATTATTTAATATAATTTTATATTTTAATAATTATTAAAATATGATTTATATCATAATAATAGTTATATTAAATATATAAAAATCAAATAACTAAAATGGAATTTTTAGAAGTCTAGGATGAGATGTTGAAGATGTAGGATGAAACACTCTATTTCCAATGTCTATAGACTGACGAGCAGAACAATCAATACTTTTGCTTAATACTATTTATTAATATCATATTATTCGTTAATTTTTATTTTTATTAATTTGAACATTGAAGAGTTTTTGTAGATAAATTTTTCTAATAAAATGTACGCTCATCTTATTTTCATTCTTACTTAATTAAAGGATAATATAACTAATCACAAATTGGAAAAAAAAATTATGTACAAAATTTATGTTAACAAATAATCATAATAATATCTTTTCAAATCGTTTATTTTGATAAAATTATACCTAAACCAAATGATGACTCCTTATTTGTTTTTTTTTAATGTATATTAGATATTTAGATGATTTTAGAATAGAAAAGGTATTACTTAACCAATTATTCTTTCTATCAAAAAATATCTAATTATGTATAATGTACATTTAAATTTATCAAGACATCGATCTGATAAGTTGTTATCTTCTTGTCCATAAATAAGTTGTTATCTTCTTGGGCACAGACAATTAATTAAAATATTATACATAAATTTGATCTTGAATATAGTTAATTGTCTTCACCTTTTATTAATTAAGTCGTTACCTATCCATATGTGTTTAATTAATGAATATCAAAATTTTTATTAGTATATTTATTATTAACGTTTTTACAGTTAATTTTATTATATTGAAGATAGTTTAAGTACTTTTTTTCAGTCTGATTTATTATTTATTGTTTATTATTATAATAACTTATATATGTATTTTCAAGTAAATTTAATTCTGATATCATTTTTCTCGTATCGGTTTCCCGTATTCCATTATACGGACTAGTATTAATTTAAATATTGTAAATTTATTTGCTTAAGGTTGCATTATGAGTGTTGTTTTTAAGCAATTTATTCAGTCTAATGCAATTGTCACTAAAAATTTAAGTAAAAATTATTTTTGGTTAAAAAATTTAAGTAAAAATTATTTTCATTCTCATTGTTATCAACTTTCCTAAGCATTTTTTATTTATTTTTGGTTTTATTTTCATCGTCATCTCTATCAAGAAATGGGTATACAAATATCCATACTCATATTCATCTATTTATTATTCCAAATGTTAATTAAAAAACTTTTTAAAAAATAAAAAACACTTCAGAAGAAAAACACGATATTATCAAATAATTAATATTAACAGATACTCGTGTTTTTTTAACGTAAAATATTAAAATAATTATAAAATATCTATCCTATAAATAAATTATGAAACTAATGACCAAAAAAAGTTAATACAAGTTTTTTCACATTATCTACAAAATTAAAAATGTTTTAACAATTTAAAACAAAAATTGATATAAAAATGAATGTAAATATGTAAAGGTAAAAAAATTACCAGAAGAACACACACACACATATACATATATATATATATATATATATATATATATATATATTCAACTACATCCTATTTATCTATATTAAATTTAAAAAATTAAATAGTGTTCATAGTTACATGTATTCAATTTATACAAAAATTTCTCCATTATAACTATGATTACTTTAAAGAATACGCACAATCACATAATGATTTTTTTTTATCACAAATGATTAATTTTGTAAATCAAAATAAGATTAATGACGTTGAAATATATATTTTTATTAAAGTTGAGACATACATGTTACTTCATGTATTTTCTTTTCAAGTATAATCGTCCAACTTTTAATATTGATAACTAGAATCAAAATTCAATATTGATAACTAGATTCAAATTTTAATATTGATAACTACTAGTCCAGCCCTAAAATTTTGTATATTTTATTCATTCATAAAAATTTTGTATTTTTTATTTTCGTAAAGTTAATTATTTGTAGTTAATTAACTTCAAAAAAGTTATATATATGTCAAAACTTCAATCTAACAAAATATATGTTTAAATATAATGGTATACCAGAAAAAAAATACATAATTTAGCCATTTTACAAATCCACAACTTTTTCGATAACTAAATATTTATTTTTTATGGCAATTAAAAAAAATGTCATGCTTTGGAAAAAAAATACAATGGGGTGAGAGAGGCTCGAACTCTCGACCTCAGGATCACTCAGAAGCTATGAGACCTACGCGCTAGCCAACTGCGCCACCACCCCATATGCCGTTCTCTCCCAATAAATATATTATAAAAGAAAATACAGTACGGAAATAATATCAATGAATAGTTTTTTTAAATGCTTCAAGACTTGGTAAGATTGAATTTTCAGTTCAATATTCTTTCCTCCATCAAAGTCTAGATTCATTTCCCACCCCTCCCCTCATCTTTTGCACTTTTTTTTAAAGTATTTTTATCTTTTCTCTCACTTTCACAGCCCCACCCTTTTCATAATTTTTTATATATAAAAAAATGCATTATTTGAATGTATTACACATTTCGTTATATTTTTTGTATACAGTTACATAAACTAGTTTCCACAATATACCTTTCGCATTATAGATCATTACAAGAGAAAAAAGGGTTGGTTCAAAATAATTTACATGCTAAACTAATTTTCATTGTGTTTAAAAAATATATTAGGAAAAATAAGAAAATACGTTTATCAAAAAATTAGTAAAACTTGAATTAGAAAAATTTATTTCGAATACATCTCATATGTTTCAAAATTTTTATTTCAAAAATTAATTAAGAAAAAAAAGTATTTTGAAAAACTTGTTCTGAAATATATTACATCTGTTTCAAAATATTTATTCTGGAATTCTTTTTCTAAAAATTCTATTATGAAAATCAAGTTCTAGAAAATATGTTTCGAAAATTCTGGATAACTTTTTCGACAAGTCTTCCTGAAATTTCAAAAGATTTTCAAGGGAGGTAATCAAGAAGTTAAAGAAGTTACCTTTACAAAGGATAAAACGGCTATTTTAATATTACGAGGGGTGCATAAAGAAAAATACTATATTAATTGGTCCGTAAACTTTGGGCCAAGGCCCAATTCAATCGTGGTCTTAGAAACAAGAAAAAGTACATCTGGGTGGGTGCAATTCGTCTGTCTCTTGAAATTTTGGATAGAGTTTTGAGCCAGCTAAAGATGGATGAAGATCATGGCGTCAGAGACAACACTGTCACACATTCACCCACCAATTCGCAACAAACAGGTAACGAATTTCGCCATCCTAAAGTTTTGCAGCTTTTCCTTTTTCATTTCCGTTCTTCGTCATGGTAGCTTCAACTGAAAATGCAAAACGTTGGAGTTGATAATTATCAGTTGAGCACTTTCAATTTTTTTTTTAATTTTAATAATTATGTGTGTCCATTTCATCAGAATAGTTTATTTTATTGGTTCAATGTCAAAGAAACAGATTGTTTTTTAACACTTATCGCTTGTTTTCCCTAATTTGGATGCTCGCATTGAAATTTGATGACAGGTGTTATGAAATCTCTGTGATTGAAGACCATATACTTGCATGCAATGAATTTTTTACACATGACACAATACGGTCACAATTTACCTTCTAGTTTATCTAGATGCTTTCTTGTTTAGTGTGAAGTCATCGCTGCTAACCCTATTGTGTTGGTGAGACTGGGATTTGAAGAAGATCCTTTGCCCTAAGAAATGGTTTTCTTCAAATAATATTGAACGCTGATATGATTATGGAATACAATTCAAATTGTAACTGACAAGCTGTTTTGAATGAGTAGAATGATTGTAGTCGAAGACAAATAGTAGAGATTGGATCATACCTTGGATCGGATACTGTAACATAATGGATATGATTGGATTAATAGGTTGATGCAAGATATTTTTTTAAGAGGTTTGGTGCAAGATATCTTAGCTTTATGTCGCAAAAGAAGCCGAGAAAAGAGCGGGTTCTAATAGTCATTTCAAGTATCTTGAACATAATCTAACTTTTCTCTTGGCTGTTATGAATTACCTTTTAATATTTAACTCACTTTTATATCTTCTTAAGAAATAAAGATACCATGTGTTAGTCATTGTAATTACTTAAGAGTATTCAAGTTAATAGATGTAAGAGTCATAAGTTCAAGACCTTAAGAATAACACTGACATATGTCATAATATGTCATAATATTTTATTCGATGTCATCTATCTCATTAAAAAAAAGAAAATGAAAAGAACTCAAGAAACAATCACCACTGTAAAAACAACCTGCTCAGGACAAGTTTAACCAATCCTTTGAGTCTAGATTTATGATTTAATTGGATCGGATATCTGAAATTGTGTGCTTGGTATGTATTGATGCTTTAAGTTAATCAGTCACAGTTTTCTAATCTTACCCTTTTTTGCTTTTTTACTTTCTGCTTTGAAGTTGTTATCATCACTATTGAAGTCAGCATTGTCATGTGGCATCTGTGAACTCCATGTACATATTTTGGAATTGATATGCCTTTAAATTATTCTTTCCCCGATAAGTTGAACAGTGTTTGTACATGTTGCATTTGCTGGTGTAGTTTATTCTTTGATTCAAAAGTGTGTTCTTTGGGCCACCGGGGTTGAGCAGTAGTTTGGAATGTGTGCTTGCTCGATCAATAAGTTTAGACCTCAATGCTGCCATTACAATCATTCATCTGGTAGATTATATCTGGAAAGTTATCCTTTCTTTCTACCTTGAAGTCCCCGCAGCTTTTGCAACATGTGATCCAGCATTAAGCTAGCTAACCATATATTTTTTCTTTATTTAATTTAAATACCAGTTTCTGATGACGACGAAATAGACTACACAACCAAACCAGAGTTTTATGACCCGGATCTTGATGATAAGAATGAACAGTGGATTCATAAAAAGAGGCAAGGACGTGTCTCTGATGCCGTGCTTAGCTGCCCTGCTTGCTTCACCACCCTCTGCCTAGAATGTCAGAGGTGCACATTTGAGTTACTGTTTTGCTTGCATGGCCATATGTATATGCTTTTACTTGAACTAATATTTTAATTTGGCATAAGGAATTACTATATTGGTAGACTGACAAGCACAATTAGAGACGACAAGCACAATTATCCATGCTGTTTAGCAAGGATCATTTAGTGTTCGGAAAATTTCCTTCCCATAAGGAGAGGAGGGGAAGAAAAATATGCGTTGCTGATAAAGACAAGAGACTAATATATTGCTTTTGCTGTAAACATTTTTCAAAATTGCTCTGTACACATCTTGATACTCTGGCTACTGGGTTTCTAAACAAGGGGAATGCCTCTTCTTTTTTTCTGGATAAAATTAATCGATCTTAGAAAATAATTTTTATTTTTGAAAAAACTAACACTTTAGTTGAAGAAAGTAGTTCTGCTCCTTAAAGATGAGGTTTTTTGAAAAAGTTCAAGAATTTTGTAGCCATCACTATATCCTATAACCTGCTAAATTTTGGCCTTTTCACCTTTTACTTTTGGCATCTTCTCCTGGCTAACAACTGCATGCATGAACTGTTTTCAATTAGCAGCACTACTCATGGATCAGTATTATATTTATGCAGATGTTCTTCTACTACAATCACTACTGATATAGATTTCAAACACCATATAATTTCATTAGATTAAGTTTCTTTGCTAAATAATTTTAATTCCCTTTTAAACTCAAATCAACTACCAGAGAAATTTATTAGAGAAAGGACGCAAAATTTAGAGTTTGCTTTCGAACAAGATCATCTTTTTAATATAGTTGAATGACACTATATTTGTTCGTAACTGGTTTGACTAACCTGTCGGTTGTGATTTACGATTTGAATGACTGACTTTCTCTAGTTTCTTGCAGGCACGAAAAATATCTGACCCAGTACAGGGCAGTATTTGTTGCAAACTGCAAAATCGGGAATGACAAGGTTTTGAAGCAAAATACTTCAAGATCAAGAAAAAGAAATGGAGGGAGTGAAAGATTTGATAGAAATGACACTGATTCAATTAACACTGAGACATTCAAGCAAGTTTGCTGTTCTGTTTGCACGACAGAGGTTGGTGTCATGGACCAGGATGAGATTTATCATTTCTACAATGTTCTCCCGAGTGAATCCTGACTGATTTAGATGTATCTGCTCAGAAGTGGCCTTCTCTGAATCCCACTACCTTACAAAATTCCAACTCAGAACTAGTTTATGTCAGTATCTCCATGCTCTACACCCATGAACACATAATTCATACACGTCCAATATTTCAGCCCCGGAAGCATATTCTTGACGTAACCTTCGCTGGAGGAATAAATTATATTTGTGGCTAAAACCGTGGACACGGAGATATTGCTTTAAGAGAACAAAATTACCATCTTTGGAGGTACACTGTATGACAGTATCTGTTGTATTTTTCTCAATACCTTGTGAAATTCTGTCTATTTTTGCTACTATTATTGTTTTTCATTTTTATTGTCACGGACGATTCCAATGATGCAAAAGCTTGGTATACTGTTTCATTAGCTCATAGGCAGCTTATACAATTAGCTCCATATCAAGCAACAATTTACAAAACCAATGCGCGTAAATGTTTTCAAAAGCCAAAACATTTACCTACCAAGTCAATGTTTGTTTCTGAGGTATTTCTTTTTTCCCTAGCAACAGTGAGGTTTGAACTTCTGACATGTAATCTATCCAAAGTCTTCACTTCACCATCGTTTCAATTCAGGCGACTTTGACAGTCTTGAGCCAAGTTTTGTCTATTGTAGATTCTTCCAATGGTGACTTCCAATTTTCTTATTTCTTTCTAACCATGTATTGATCCTGCCGCCAATTTTGACTTAGTTTCATCAATTTCATAAAAATGTAACGAGCTACAGAATTCTTTAAAACTGGCCACTAACAAAGGAAAGGCCAGCATTTGTCCATTATCACAAACCTACCTCTCCCACAACAGTACATAGATGTCGGACATTAAATACTTATGATGTTATTTCATTTAAATAAAAAAATATTTTTAATTTTTTTAACATATTACATAATGGGGCTGTATTCTAGCAGGTACAGATTTTCTTTTCACATTTCGATTATTGATCAAGTGTTGAATGGTGTGTAATTAAGAATGTTGTTTAGAAGAATGTGAGTAGATTCCTTGTATATAAAAATACAGAAATAGGATTATGATCCAATACTTTAATGTGCTAGCATGGAATGTTCCATCATTTCAAGCAGAGAAGTGGGAGTATGCAAATCAAAAAAAGGGTGGATCAAATCCTTGGCATAATTATCAATCGCTCCTTTTGAGTTGCTTTCACTAAAAAACAAAATGTAGTGGTTAGGAAACACATTATGCATATATTAATATCAATAATTTAGCTATTTAGTATCAATATATTACGGAAGAGGCAAGAGACAGCTCATGAAAATAGCTATTTAAGATATGGAAAATATGTCCGTGTGCACTAGATAATTATTTTATTTTATTTTAAGATCACGGCCTCTCCTTTTTCATTATTTGTCAATTGCTTAGTATATAAACAGATAGATTTCCTTCAATTTTTTAAAAGTTTAAGCAGAAGTGACTATCGATATGAAGATGATATAAAGATGCCTAGCCTCTTACGAATTAGCCCATCATTTACAAGTCCATCATCTAAAACAACAAAATCAAACAAAGAAGTACTTCTCCAATCATCACAAAATACGATTCTAATTCTAATAGGATTGTCTTTGCTTTCGAATTTCTTTTCTCTTTTTAGCCTACCAACCCCACTGCTACAAGTGCAGTCTATAAGAGGCTTCACATCATGTTTGATGCACATTACTATGATTCAAGAAAGTTCACAAAAACTTTAACTTTTACTTCTATACAAAAAAAAATTTATATGATAACACATTTTTACCTTCATTTAAAACATATTATAAAAATATAATGGTCATAAAAATGAACTTTCGTATTTTTTTATATAAAAAAAATAAGAAACAGTGATATTAAATGAAGGTAAAAAATTTATCGTGTCAAAATATCATTTTTTAATAAAAAAAATCAAAATTCTTATTTTATCCAACATTTTCATTCATGTCTATATTTCTAAAAAAGAATAGTTGGATGCTATTTTAAATTTTAAATATTATACATAGAGAAAATAAGAACAGTATTTTATTTTGTGGGTTATAGGATTTTTTTTCTGAATATGTAAGTGTCATAATCACAAATGTTAGAAGAATCTCATGTTGATTTCTCTAAACACTTCTTTTAGATAAGTTCTTTCCACTTTTAGTATTATGATTGTTGATATGGAAGAAGATATTTTACTATGTACATGATAGATTTGTATCGATGTATAAATATTATATAATTATATATATTTTTAAAATAGTACCGATTTATAGAATTAAAATTCTATAAAATATATAAATATAGTGTGATGTGATCTACGCTATACTAATGACAATTACAGAAGTGTATGTGACTTTGAGCGTCTCATAAGAATTGTCAAATTAAAATTTTATTCTCATTTTCATCAACATGTTCAATGATATAATTTTTTTTTAATTCCCATCTTATTATTAGGAAATTGGTATATTCATACTTATGTTTGGTACTTATATCTTTACTATTTTAAATATTGGTTAAATACTTTTTTATTAAAAAAAATTCACTACAAAGAAAATATAAAAATAAGTATGAATATGGAGATGATGATGAAATAGATATGTACTTGCTAATTTTATTGTCATATTTAATTTGAAAAATTATATACTATTTATATTTATACTTAATGCGAAAAATTCTATTAAAATAAAAATAGATTTAAATAATGTCAAGTTCATTTTGCATCATACGTATATAAGTATCAAATAGGACAAAAAAACAAAAGAATAGTTTATTTTTCTTGTTTATACATCGTATTGGATTAATTTGACACTATAGCAAGTGAAAATACTTTTAAATCCTACTATGAACATTTAAGTATCAACCATATATTTTCTAACACGTCTTTTTGACATTTTATTATTGATTCAAAATTGTAAAAAAAATGAATAAAACAGGACTTTTATGAAATATGACTGATAATAAATTTGAATTAAAATATAAATGTTTGAAGAATATATTTTATGATGTGTTAACTTTTTTTTTTTGGCTTTTCTAATTAGGAAGGGAAGGGTCCTACATTTTTCTTCTTCTTTTTTCTTACGCCCTGTTTGGTGTGTGACTAAAATAGTCTAAGTTCCTTTTTTGGGTTTTGCAAGCTGGAAAAGGAAAGTACCCCACAAGTTTCTTTCATTGGTTCCAAAACACTCTCCAATTAATCAATGACGATCACATTTTTTCCTTTTTTGCTAAGAAGTTCAACACACAACTTTTTTTTTATTATTATTATTATTAAATCACTTTATCATTCCTAATTATCACAATCTTATCATAAGATTATTAATGCAAACTAATAATTCTCATTCAAACTCACTTTTTTTAAGAAAAAAATTATTTGGGCTTGGTTAATGTGTTTTTCTTAATTAATAATTATTAATGCATGATTATCCATTAAATTGTTGTGTTTCATTCGACTGAAACAATTTTCACACCGTGAAAACTAACATTTTGGTTTCTTATATTCAAATAGCAGTGTTCCACTGTGTTAAAGTGAAAAATGATTTGCCTCTCTTATCAAATCTAATCTCATTTCGTAAATATTAATCATTTTAATTCATAATTTTCGAAATACTACTCATAATAAAAGATTAAAAATGTTTATTCATTGTAAAATTATAATAATTAATAGAAACAAATTTCATATTTATTTACAATTTTTTTTATGCTCTGGTAATTATTTTTATTATAATGGCCTATATTTCTACTAGTAAACAATAATAATAATGAAATGTATTTATTAAATAAGAAAATTGTTATTTTGATTTCTATTTTTTAAGCGTGGGAAATGAACCTTGTTAGCCCATTTGAGTCAGAAGGGCCTCAGCGTAAAAGCCCAAACCGAGAGGCAATATTTGCAAAGCGTGTTTCACGCCGAATATTAAATAAGTAATGCGGAAAAATAATAATTTGGATATATCTTGGAAAGAAGGCCACGTGGCAAAAGGGTATTGGATGGTGAAGATATAACAGCTAGCTCCAGATTACCCGAAACTTCCACTCTGATAACGAAAGTACCTAATGTAAATCATTTCGTTACTTACTTCTTATTCAATAAAGAAACCGAATATTAAAACATTAATACGTTTTTAATTTAATACAACATTATCTATATATTGTATATTTTTTTATTTCCTAATTTTTATAAGTAAATTAATGAATAAGAAGGTCTGCTGTGGTTGGTGTAGTAAAAACGTGGAGGCATTCAATAATTCAGCATAAATTTGTGAAAACGAAAATGATTGTAATGGTAATAATTAAAAATAAATTTGAAGGGAGAAATGTGATATGATATAACTAAAGTAAAGAGAGAAGTAATAAAGAATATGAAAAATAAAGGTAAGTGGGTCCCAGGGCGTCCTATTCTCTGGGTACCCTATACTCTGGTGAACAGAGCGTGTCCCATTTCTTAAATACTGAAAGTAAAAACGGTGCGCAAAGGGACAAAGTAATGCTTTGATGGGAAGAATAAAGAATGGGGGGGTGAAGAAATGAAAAGAGGGGGGGTAAAAGGGAAGGGGTGGGAGAGTGAGAGAAGGCGCGTGGGAAAGAGGAGTAGTGGAGCCCAGCACCCATGTGCCCTCCTCCTGTCTCCACCAGCTGCTGCCGCTCAATCATTAGAGGGCTGTTCCCCTCCTTCCTTCCTTGCTTTCTTGCCTCTTTCATCAACGCTTTCATTCAAACACACTCACTCACTGTAATCTCATCTTCTCATTCTCATTCCCACTCTCAGAATCAATACAATAACACACACACATATGTCAACCTCTGACGGCACCACTAACGGCGTCTCTAACGCCTCAATCATTGACCCGCAACGCCAGCAGCCCCAGGCGTTGGCCGTCAAGAAGCCACCGTCCAAGGACCGCCACAGCAAGGTCGACGGACGCGGCCGCCGCATACGAATGCCCATCATCTGCGCCGCCAGAGTCTTCCAGCTAACGCGGGAGCTGGGTCACAAGTCAGACGGCCAGACCATCGAGTGGCTCCTGCGCCAGGCCGAGCCTTCCATCATCGCCGCCACCGGCACAGGCACCACGCCCGCCAGCTTCTCCTCCGTCTCCCTCTCCGTACGCGCCGCCAACTCCGCGTCTCTCTCCTCGCCTTCCTCCGCCTCCGACCACAAGCCGCAGCTCCTCGCTCCCACGCCCTTCATCCTCGGCAAGCGCATACGCACCGACGATGACACTTCCAAGGACGACGCTGTTTCCGTGGGCCCCTCCCTCGTGGGCCCCTCTACCCCGCCCGGACTGTGGGCCCTCCCTGCTCGCCCCGATTTCGGACAAATTTGGAGCTTCGCCGCCGCTCCAGAAATGGTCGTGCAGCCCGCCGCCGTGTCGGTGTCGCAACAGCAGGCCTCGCTCTTTGCTCATCACCAACGTCAGCAGCAGCAGGCCATCGGAGAAGCGTCGGCGGCTAGGGTGGGGAATTACCTTCCGGGACATCTGAATTTACTGGCTTCGTTGTCCGGCGGACCTGGGAATTCTGGTCGGAGGGATGGCGAGCATCGTTGATTGAGTAACGGTGGTGGTGGAGGAAGGTGGACGGTGGAGGAAGGTGGTGGTGTTTTTTTGGTATATATATATATAATCTCGTGTTGTGGCTGTTGCTTTGTTGTGTGTGGTGAAGCAGGAGATTCTTAGGGTTAGGTTTTTTTTTCTTAGTTTTGAGTGGAGAAGTCCATCCATTAAGAAATTATTCAATTAGGGTTTTATTTTAGTTCCTGCTTCTGGTTTGAAAAATTAACTAGGTGCTAAGAAAGTTGGATAATTGTTTTAGATTCTGGGGCTTTTGTTGGAGGAGAATGTGATGAAGTGATAACATACTGTGTGGATTGTGATGCTTAAATATTGAAGCTTGTCGGTGTGGAAGTGCGGTTGAATTTGTAATGTTGATGTGGTGGTAGAAGAAAATTGTTGCTTCTGTTTCACTTGCGTAGTGGGTTTTGAGTTTTGACTGACCGGGTCTACAAGTTTGGTGGTGGTGGTTGCAGTTGAGGTAATTCTTAGTGCTTGCAAGCTTGTTTCTGAGGTGAGTGGATTGTGTTTCCCAAATTCAACCGTCACTCCCAGATTGTTGGAGCATCCTGCTTTACATTCCGACAGGGGTTGAGAATGAGAATTCATGCCTCTTGGCTGGTCTTGAAGCATGTTTTGAGGTTAGTTTAAGGTGGTAATGTTGTGAAATTGGTGCAGCTGCTGGTGAGTTACGCTGTCTCAATCTCCTCTACTTTCACGCCCCTTGATTGTCTTTGTTGTTTTCAGAGGTGACTGGTGTGTGAAAGATAAAAGAAGAAGAAAAAAGCTCTGGTTGTACTCCGTATGACTACTGTTTTGAGATTTTTTTTATCTTCAATTCTTAGCCATTTCTTAGATTGATCAGCGTGAGAATAATGTTTTCTTGTATGTAAGTGGATTGTTTTGGGGGTGCCAGTGATGTGAATAAAAGCCCATCTGTTTCTTTTTTTACCTCTTTCCTTCTCTTGTCACTTTATTTGTTTCCATGTATTCAGCAACTCGATTTGTTGCATGACGTTTCAATTTTGAATCCGTATTTGTTTCAGTGTGCTTTTTGTTCTTGAATCTGCTGCAAATTGGCCCCTCTTTTGCTTCTGAACTTGGTGTGGCCAAGCTATATAAATATAAATATACTATTCCACAGGTAAATTCATTTGGGTGTTGAGAAGCCCACTGACCACCATGTTTGATTTCGTTGGAGCATCTTTGGTTCTCTGCCAGTTTTTGTAATTTCCACGTACTCTTTCTGGGAACTTGTACTCTGGCTATTTCTGTATTTAAGGAAAGATAAGGTTAGGTACAGCCTGTATTCAAGTCTTGAAAATAAAGATCTACTCACATAGGTCTAATGGTCACTGTTTTTTATGTTTTCACATTGTGTTTTCACAAGGGTGAAAACATAAGATAGTGTTGGTGCATTTGATGCAACAGTCAATCCTGGTTTTTTAGTGATACACTGCTATCTATATATGCATAAATAAATAAAAAACTCAAATTTGGCTGATGTGTTGCATCTCAATAATGGCATATTTAAACTGGTTGTTATATCTTTGACTTTTATTGGCACGCCCTTGCAAACTACCATGTGCCTCTGCACCCTGCCTTATCTGCCTCACAATACACAAACTTAACACAATGCTGAGAGCTTAGTTCAAGTGGCAAAAGGATCACCTGAAGCATTGATCTCTTTCTATCTTTCATAATCTATTTTGGGATTCTATTTCAGGTATCTTCCAAATTTAAAATTCATTTATAAGATGCCTGACATATTTCAGGCACCATTTGAAGGGAAATTGAATATATATATATGATTTATAAGATGCCTGACATATTGATAAGCCGTTTAAGTCATGTAGCCAAGAGTAGAAATCCTTTCTGGACGACCAGCTCAAGTGGAATTTCTGAAAATGGGATATTCATTTATCTCTCTGCTTAAAAGTGTATAAATGAAGGTAAATAAATTTCATTATAAACTATTAGTGTAACTAAAAGAACTGTACCAATCATTTATAAGTGCATAAAAAAAGCAGAACTGTGAAATTTTGTATTCTTTATTTGCTTGAGAAAAGTTTTACAACCTTGCAGAGTATCTCTGAAAATTTACACAGGACACGAGTATGATATGATAGAGCAAGTCTTTAGTCGTTTTATACTTTATTTTTTAAATAATAAAAAGCATGTGCACACTTCTTTCAGTGCATAACAAATATATTTTTTACTTATTTATATATATATATATATATATATATATATATATATAAATCATTTTAATTCTTTTCTACACGAACAGAAAATGAATCTATTAATGAGCTTAGTTTTCTAATAGCTGTTCTAACATTATGTGACATAATTATGTCAACGTTAGTTGTGTACTAATTATGTCAGGCTTTACTGGTACATAACAAGATAGTACAACACACACAAGATTTGTTGAACATGATTTATCAAGCACTTGTTAAAAGTTTTTAGAAAAACAGTAACTATGGTTAAGATAATAAGATTGAAAGATGGTTTTGTGATTTTATGATTTGATGAAAGAATTTGACGGGATGTAAATGGAATGTAAAAATAGTTATAGTGTGATGGGAAAAAAAGAGATTTGAGCAGAGGAAAGATGTGAAAAAAGAAGAGGGAAGGATTTGTCTGGGAGTTGGGAAGTGATGATTTTGTTGATGTTGTACTTTTGTATGAATGGATTATTGGTGGGGTTTTCGAATTTAGGATGCCAACATGTTTTCTTAATTATTGTTAAACAGAAGGGTCAGCTTCCAATAATTGATGGGTCCCTGGAATTAAATGTCGGGGTGAAACAAGTTAAAAACCATGTTATGATTTGGGACCATATTTAAACCCTCATATGATGGACTTTTTGAACTTACTTGCAAACTCAATCTGGACCCACATTCATTTTTTTAGGGCCATTTATTTGGGTTACGTAATTGCTGCAACACAGTGTGTTGTGGGCCGTATCCAAATCCAGTTTCGGTTTCCTCACTCTTCTTAGGCTTTTCTGTCTGTTTTCTTTGGCTGGTGTATTTTTTTAAATATGAAAAGAAAAATTTAGAAACTACCACTTAAATTTAAAAAAAAAAAAGAAAAAACTCAAAACCATATAGTTTATGTTTAATTATCTATTTAGTCATCTAACATTTTTTTGTTTATTTTGGTTCTTTATTATTCTAAATTTAATTTAATTTTCTAAATTTTTAAAATTGTACAATTTAGTCTTTTATATTGAATTAACATTAATGTATCTTTATATTTCATGTATCAATATGTATAATTTTTTATTTTAAAATTTTTTTAATTTAGAACAAAAAATAACACAGCCTAGCAAATTATGATTTCTTTTTAATTATAAAATGTTTAAAAATAATATAAATTTCACATGTACATATCAGCACGATATTAACATCAATTAACATAAAAATAAAATCTTTTTAAAAATTTTGAAGACTAAACAAATAATAATAAATATAAAATGAACCGAACTAAGAAGTTAGATAACTAAATAATCTATATTTTATCTATATTTATGAACTTATAAACTTATTTACTTTGCAATAAAATGTCTTTTGACAACAAATCTAATTAAGATCAATATAAGTAAAGAGATTTATGTAACAAAATTATCTTCACATATTTTAACGATCCTTGTAAAAAATAAATAACTATAGTTTTCAACATAATAAGATTAACTTATAATTTTGATGATATATTTTTTATTGAGAAAATTCAATAAAATGTTTTTCAGATTAGTAGTTCGAAAAATTTGATGCATGTTTAAGTTTTATTTATTTCATATTTAGAAAGAGAAAGAAACTTATTTTTATTGATATGATAATTTTAATCAGTTAAAATTATTTTGACTAGTTAAAACAAAATTATATACTTAAATTTTGAACAAGAATAATTATAAATTAATAGTTTCCTAGAATATATATATATATATATATATATATTCATTCTCCTAGAAGAGACTTCTAATGTGATATTATTAATTTTATATACAACCCTTCTCAATTACTAAGTAGTGTTTTTCTTTTCAACCTTGGGATAACATTTAAGTTTTCAACTACTATTGTCAGATAGACTTTAATATCATTATAATAGAAATAAAATAAAAGGTAAATGTTTATGAAGCTATAAATTAGAGAAACATTGTTTATAATCTCCTGCAATAAAGTAAAGACCTATCATTAAATAATAAAAAATTAAAGTTATAAAAATTTGAGATATTTTTAAATAAACTTAAATGATAATATGACATATACATTTAGTACGAAAATTAAATTTCATATGCAATTCTTGAAAGAAAGTAAATTATATTTTTTAACAGGAGATTTAATTTTTCGCTGATATTATTTATCACACTAAATAATAATTTTTTCTCTGATATTATTTATCACACTAAATAATAATTAATACCTTGAAGAGGTTTTGTAGGTGTGGGTTGAGTTGAGGTGTTGCAAATTGCCATCGAAATCAAATCGAATTGAAGGAGTTGCGTTCGAGAGAGAGTTGAATGGGTTCTTGGAAGAGTGGTTCGATGGGTTTGGAGAGGATGAGCGTGGAGCAGTTAAAGGCGGTGAAAGAACAGAGCGATCTGGAAGTGAATCTTCTGCAAGACAGTCTCAACAACATTCGCAGCGCCACCACTCGCCTCGAGATCGCTTCCTCCGCCCTCAACGACCTTGCCATCCGCCCTCCTGCCAGCCAAATCCTCGTCCCCCTCACCGCCTCCCTCTACGTCCCAGCCACTCTCCACGACTCCACCCACGTTTTGATCGACGTCGGCACCGGATACTTCATCGAGGTCAAACCTTACTCTTCTACATTTATCGCATTTAGGTTTTCTGTGTCACGTTTAGGTTTTCTGCATCGCATTTAGGTTTTCTGTGTCGCATTTAGGTTTTATGTGCGTCACTTAGGTTTTTGTGTATTCAATTAGGTTTTATGTATCGCATTTAGGTTTTAGGTTTTATGTATTGAATTTAGGTTTTTGCAGTTTGTTATTTGTTCATTGATTGTGATTGTATGTGAAAACAGAAAACTATGGATGAAGGAAAAGATTACTGCGAGCGAAAAATCAACCTGCTCAAATCAAATTTTGAACAACTTGTTGAGGTACATTTCCTCTTGCGTATCTTGTTCCGAGCAAGCTCCGGATGCCCTGCTTGTCATGGATTGCTATTAAAATCTATTGATGTTTTTTTATCCGCTCTATAAACTATATGCTGTAAATAATCCCTCTTTGCAATAGTGCAATAAAAGCTTGTGTGGTACTGCATTTTTTCTAGATTTCTGTGGTTTGGCCTCCGAGCTTTTGTGATTTAGTACGTGTTTAAATTAACTGGGGCAGTATTTCAGATGGGAAAAGCATTTCAATGGGGATGCATAATGGAATGTGTTGAAAATTTGTGCATAAGTGAAGTTTTGTTTTTAAAGAAATTTATTTCATTTATTATTATGATTATTACTATTTTTTCTTCTATTTCAAGTACAGATGAAAAGGTTTATACAAATAGATCTTGAAGCAACTCTTGTGTGACTTGTGTTGAGTTGAGAATTTTTTTCTAGGTTTAAGTGCAAGCATGCTTTCGACTTGAACTTGTTATACTACGTTCAAATACAACACAAGAGAAGTGCTGGCAACACTCTTTTCCTGTCACAACCTATACTGTTGGTTGTAATTTATCAAAGACTACAAAATAATAGGAGATTCATTAAACAAAGCGTCAAAGCCTACAGAATACGTGTATTGGTAGCATTTCTCTACAACATAAATTGTTGTCATCTTGTATTGAATGTGGTAATTATGTAATTTATATTAAATGTGGTTATTCTATTGTGGAGAGTGATTGCTCAAGATAGATGTTATTAAATAGGGGACGTGGTGGCTCTAAGACACTATGATGCGGCAGATTTCCTGCAAAAAGTCGTTATAGTTCTATGATTTCATGGGTTTCTTGCGATTCCCTATGATGACCACTTTTGCCATAGAACTTGTGGTGACAATCGCGGCTAAGGACATGGTGGAAAAAGCACCAATTATCTTATAGGAAAAAACACACTTGAGGAGAGTCCGAGTCCCTGGTTTGTCCAGGGGCTACTCCATTGAGCTTGTTTTAAGCACTAGTGTTTTGCTAAACCAAACCCAGCATTGGAGAGACATTTACTGAATACTGTTGACATCTCCAGTTAAGTAGACTATCTCAGGCAAACAACTGATGGTTTTCTCAAGTAATCCCTCTGTTCACGAGTCTCGTTTATTTTGTTTCTTTTATTTACTTCATGTCTATTTCCTATTCTGATCTCTTTATTTCTCTGAGCTGGTCAAATTTATCTCTTCTCCTATACTTTTTATTTATTATAATGCAATGCCTCTTCCATACCTGGAATTCCATCTACCATGTTCTCACTGCTGGATTTGGGTTGCTGCCATAGGAGTTCACATTTTTTATCAATCAAGCTAGCATGCATGTCTCCACAAAGTTTTAAACAAATGATTGGTATCCTATTGTGTGAAATATTCTACAATATTTTTTTGTGTACTTTGGATATGTGTTTTATTATAGCTAGCGTTCTTCTGCTACAGGTACCACCACGAAATAATTTGACCCCAATATTTTTTTTATAAAATGAATCATCTTCCCCTCCCCACCCCCTGGACGAAGTTCAAGTCAATTACTTTTTTCACGTTGTTTTTTGAAATGAATTTAAGAGTTCTCATATTACCTTTTACCTTATTTCCCAAAGAAAAATGAATTTGTACAAATCTAACTGCAGGTTGCATCCAAAAAGAAAAACGTGGCAGATGAAGCTGGAGTTATTTTACAAGCTAAAATGAAGCAATTAGCGTCTTCATCCTAAAAGAACTTGTATAATTCTCTTGCTTCTTCCAATGCAGTGTACCATAGAAAATCAGCAGAGATGTTATATGTTATTTAAACCTTTTATTTTGTTTGGAAGTGTTTAGAAAATGGAGTCAATCAATGACAATTAAAATCTAAAGGGTGTTTAGGAATTTAACAGTGGTGTTTCAATTGCATAAATTCTATTTGAGCAGGTTGTTGCAGTTCGTGTTCATTGTTGGCCTTTAAACTGTGTTCACACAAGCTGTTCACTATTGCACCAGTGTGGGGTAAAGAGAAGGGTTTCCTTGAGAAATGTTGTGTTCTTCTGGGAAAAAGAGATTGTTAAAGATGAACAGATTGTTTTTATAGTCTTGCATTAATAGGGTTTTGGTGCTTGTATTCAGATAAAAATATAATCCTTTATAGGCATGCTTGAAGAAAACTCCTCTCATAGGCACTTGAAGGAAAGAAAATACAGAACAAAACAATTTTTTCAAAAGTTTTTGAAGTCTTTTTTTCCTAACATATAGGAGAGAAAGAATACAATATTGTTTTTATAAAACTAAATTAATATATGCATGAGTTATATATCAATTTTAAATAAGTTAGTTATATAAAATATTTTATACAAATTAGTTTATATATAAATTTCTTTTACTTATAAGTATTGTTTTTTTCAAAACTAAATATGAAGTACTTTTAAACTCACCCAGTAAGTTATACCTGTTTACATTTTCTTTATCATGCGTATTATATTGAAGTTATATTATATATAATAAAAAGTTTTGACTATACACTATAGATATTCTAAATACTTATGATTTAATTATATGAACAATCACTTTCCCTTGTTTACGTGAGCTACCTTTTTTTTCCTGTATTTCATTTTTGCTTCACCATTTGTTTTTATTATCTTTTATTGTAAATTTTGAGCTACCTTTTTTTTTCCTGTATTTCATTTTTGCTTCACCATTTGTTTTTATTATCTTTTATTGTAAATTTTGTGTTGTGACTTTCAAAATTATGAAGAAAAAAAATATAAGATATTTTATATATACCAGGTAAAGAAGTTTTATTATATGGTATTACAGATTAATAGATAGATAAATGAGTTGGATTGGGCGGTAAAAAAAGATCAAAAAAGAAGTAGAAGAAATGAAGGGAAAGAACACAAGTGCAGGGAGGGAAGCCGGAAGAGGGTAAATTGATTGTAAAAAAAAGGTTTAATCCTTTTTGACGTCCCTATTTGTGTAGGAATGTCTCAGATAGGACCTCGTTTTCTAAAGTGTATCAAAATGGTCCTTAATTTTGAAAATTGATATCAATTGAGTCATTTCCGTTAAGTTGGCTGGACGGCGTTAAAAAAATTGATGAGTGGGATGCTGAGATGACGAACGAACGCTCGTCCACCACCGAACGAACGCTCGTCCACCACCGAACGAACGCTTGTCCACCAGCGAACGAACGCTCGGCGACCACCGAACGAACGGTCGTCCAGTGTGGAACGAACGGTCGTCCAGCGGTAAGAGGTCGACGAGCGTTCGCTGGTGGACGAGCGTTCGTTCGTCAGAAAACGAGGACCTATATGAGACATTCCTACACACGTCAAAAAGGATTAAACCTAAAAAAATGTTAAGAGAGGACAGAATATGGAATTGTTTTTCCTTTTTAACTTTATAGTCCTATAATCTATACTATCATTTAATTATTTAATTATTTTGTCTATTAATAAATAAAGAAAACCTAATATTTATTTAATTAAATTAATTTTGAATATTTTATTTTAAAATAACTAAATATTCTTTTTTTTTAAATTATACCATAATACAAAGAGATAATTTTTTTTGCTGTCATCTCTTGATTAGTTAATTTTATCTTTTGGTAAATAAAAATTCATTTGGTTATTTATTCAGTGAAAATAATAATGGAATAGTGTCTTTAATTCAAAATAGTTAGATAACTTTCTTTTTAAAAAATAAAGCTTAAATGATTTTTATATTATTACTTTTACAATATATATATATATATATATATATATATATATATATATATATATTATTTTTCATTTTTGCTTAACTATTAAATAAAATAGTAAGATTAAATATGAAATAAAATTGTGAATATACATTTTCGAAAATTCATTAGTGGTAGAGATACAATTTGACATTTTTTTGGTGGCATCTCTTTCATTTCATATATAGTTTATTTAAAAATTTAATTAAATTAGAATTTAAAATTTTCTTGAAGGAATTAAATTATTGTCTTATGTTTAGGGAAGTCCTTCATTAGTAAGCCAGGTGCTTGTTGTGTAAAGAACGGAGAATATACTTGTAAGTATTTCATGTTCGGCACTTAGCAAAAGAAACTCCGCCAAAGGCTTTCTTTGGCATAAGTTGAAACGACTGGAAAGAAATGTGATCTAAAAACGACATTAGTTTAGGCTATGAAATAACTTTTATGTTCAGCACTTGCACAACTCTTAAGATATTATTATCCAGAATTCAGCATGCAACGTTCTAATTCCTTTACAATTGTAAAGAATATCCAATTATGATAAACACACTGAAATTATTGTTTGTTAACAAAAGAAGATTCTGCAAGATCGATGGCTCGAGCAAGGGCTGCAGCTTTATTCTCGCACTCTCTCTGCTCATCAGCTGGATCACTGTCAGCAACGATTCCCGCCCCAGCCTGGAGGTGGGCAACCCATTCTCTGCGTTTGTTCATATGATCCTTGTACGAGTACATCGTATCATAACGAGCATTAGTAGGGAAAACTATGGTTCTCAGTGCAAGGGCTATGTCCATATCGCCATTAAAAGATATGCCTCCAAATCCCCCGCTATATGGCCCCCGTCTTGCCACTTCCAACTCATCAATCAACTCCATTGCTTTTACCTGTTTTATAACAATCCAATCATTTACATAATGTTCAGCTATAACTACCTCCCAACCAACTCTATTTATTAAGCACAGGTAATATCGGAACTGAATGCGACTGCCTATGTATAATGGACAAAAAACTACATTAACAAGGGGAAAGAGCCTGCTCAAACCTAAGCTACCATCTTCAAGAGTTCTAAAATTTACCTTCGGTGCTCCGCTAACTGTACCAACAGGTAAAGCAGCACGCAATGCATCCCAGCTTGTTAAGTTATCTAACAACTCCCCAGTGACCTGCAAATACAGGTGTACTTTACCATCATCTCAGAAAAAGCTTCACCAAATCCACGAAATAAGCTAATTTTAAAAGTAATCTTCATATTCAACATCTCACGAAATAAGCTCTTAGTCATAATTTCTTAGGCAAAAATATATGGGCCTGTTGGTATCAATAAGCATTGTCCTCTTAGGATTAAGGGAAAACAAAAGATAGGCGCAGCTTTTCTAGTTTTTTATTTTCAAAGTTCTAACTAAAAACTGGAAAGTGATTACTCAGTATAGGAGTAAACATTCGCTTTACCTGCAAATGATTGTAAAGCAAATGTTGTTATATCTGACATTAACGGAAACTCGGGACAGTTTATTCTTCAATTTGATAAGAATGACCATTAAAGCAGAAATATTGAAGAGATCAGAACATAAAAAATGTTAGATTTTCATGTGTAAACACCCCTAAATTATGTGTACGATATTAAGTCAAGTACAAAATATTGTATAAACTGACAATAAAAGAACAAAGATCACGAACAAAGAATTTCCCAAGGATCTCTAAAGAGAGAATAAAATAAACCCAGAATATTTTTAGGAGAAGAAGAAAAGAGAAAGAATGAAACTACGAGAAGAGAGAATGATTCTGATATGTGTTTTGGAGTGAAGGGAGTGCTCTATTTATAGAATTCATGGATCAGGCCCATGACCTAAAATATCTCTTAGAAAATTATTATTTTTATTAAAATAGAACTTTGGAAACGAAATATGAACGTTGCACATCAAAAGGAGACGTTGCGTGCATATAGGAAAAAATCTCCAATTGCGGTCCAAGCTCAAAACTTCCGATGACACATATCTTTGCAATATTATATTAATAAATAATAACACAAAAGCCGCCAAGGACGAGTATTACTTCCCAACATTTATATTAGTTAGCATTGTCAGCAATGTAAAATTTGAACTGCATTTATGTAAGATTCAAAACCTTGGAACTTACAGTTGAGCTTATGTGCATAACATGGGAATAGCGCTCGATATTCATGAGCTTTTCAACTTGAACAGAGCCGGGTTTGGAGACCTGCATATTCATCTTGCATTAAGCATATGGCTAAAACACAAACTGCCCAACTGAAAAGCAACTATGCAACAAAAATAGTTATGATCATAAATTACCCAACTGCAAAGCAACTGTGCAATGCATATAAAGATCTGTTAAAATAGCAACATAGCATTTAGAATAAGGTTAATGCTATGAAACAATGACTTCTTCAATAGGGTACCTGATATTCATGTTTGCTTTGCACGTTAAAAAAAAAAGAAAAAACTGTCAAAAGAGTCCCTCCATTCAAAGGGTTTATGGAGGTAGAAAAAAGGGTGCGTAGGGAATTACAAGTTAGGACCCGATCCCATTGGTGATAATAACTAATTATATTCAGTAGTAAAATGGGATTGGGGGAGTTAGTAGGAATTGGTTGAGTTTTGTTACAAGAAAATTGGGAGAATCAGCTCTGTTCGTACTCGGGTGGAAGAGAGGACATTACTCCGTTGTACTGGTGTGTAGTGCTTGATCTCTGTTCAGTATCACCTTGATAACAGTGCAGAAATTGATTGCTTGAAAATATTAAGCATCATTATGAGCAAATCATTTTTTACATATTATGGTCCAGTTTTTTCAGAACCATTTTCCAAAATCATATTGAATAGAAAGATTCCTTTTACATCTGGGATTAGATCAAGGGTTTACCTAGGAACCTTAGTCTTAAAAATGCAAGACTTTAACCTCTATGACATAAAAGATAATAAGCCAGGAATTGAAAACATTTTACCTTTCCAACATCATTTCTCCCCAAATCAACTAGCATTACGTGCTCTGCACATTGCTTTTCATCCTTCAAAAGTTCTTCCTCCAACATGATATCTTCTTTGGGTGTTTTTCCTCTCCTAGTAGTACCAGCAAGGGGCCGGTTGGTGATGTTCCTCTGTCAAAAAGAATACAAAAGGCCAATCAATACATTTTACATTTGTAATGAAGTTTGTAACATTGACTAGTTTAGAAAAAAATTAAGAAACTTAAAAAAGGGTTAACAAACAAGACAAGCCCAGCTATAAACATTTGTTAATAGTATTGATATTGTGGAGGAAGAAAATTAGCCCATAAAGCCAGGTTATTGGAGTCTTATCGCACAATGATACCTTCTTCACCCGTGTAAG